GGCTGCGTGTCCAGCCCCAAATCCAACGTTCCTGGCATGGCTGCCCAGCCGCCACCTCAGGGCTGGCCGTTTTGGGGCCAGAAAGGGCGAAATGCCGAGCGTTGGAGCGCTGCGGTGCTTTGAGGTAAACACTGAGGTATAAGCAGGGCTCTCCCTCCTTGGCTTAAAAAATATGTCTGTATTTATAAATATGTATTATAGCTGGTAATATAGGCCAGAGAAAATGTCTTATTTGTTAAGAACCCACTTGGGAAATGGTGTTAGGAGCGTTTGCCCCTCAGGCCGTGATCGCTCCTGTCGTGGTGCTGTGTCTGGGCCTCAGGAGCCACCAGGTGATGTCCCAAGTCCTCAATTTGGCATTTATACAGTGTTTACAAAGAGAAAACCAGGGAAATGGGCTGTGGGGAGGAGGTGGAACAGCAGGATTGAGGTTTGGAGGAAACCATGACACACCTGATGTCACTATTTAAAAAAAAAAGTTATATTTTTAGCTGTCTTAGTTTAGAGAGCTTCTATCCCCTTGGTCTGGCGGAGAGCTGTGCTCAGGCCTTGCTGGAGGAGGGCTGTAATGCCTGAGAAGGGGGATTTTGGAGAAATTCCTTCTTGCTGGTCCTACAGCTTCATTATGGGAGAGCTGTGGGGAAAATACCTTGACCAACAGCAGGTATCTGTTTAGGGGATAAATTCCTTTATCCGGATACCGGTTTGGGGGATGAATTCCTTATTCCCTGCCCTCCCTGTTTGCTTGAGCACAACACGACTCACTAAACTGCCCTCCTGCTGGGGGTATCTTCAGACCTCCCAAGGTCTCGGTGAACTTTGGGAGTCCACTATTTATTCTTGGTGTGTTGGACTGTGCTGTCCATGTGTCACTTCATTGGCCTGGCTTCCTCCAGAAGCCACTCTGAAAGTATAAAGCATATGGAGGAGGCTGATAGTGATAAATAAATAAAAGGGGAGGCTTATTTTCATAAGACTTTTTACCAGAGTAGAGCAGTTGTAAAGGTTCCTGTTATTCAGTGTTATGTCTCTGGCCTTGCAGCATCCTCTTTGCACACTGGATGTGAGGATTGCACCTTGTGCTCCTACCACAGGCAAGAAAACCAAGTCCCTGCTGTGCCGAAGGCTGCTGAAATGCCTGTTTTTTTTGGAAAACACCAAATTCCACCCGCCTTCCCTGGGTGCTGTGTGAGGTCCTGCCCCGCTCTACATACAAACCCTTTGGTGAGTTGTTGTTGCCTCGTTTTGTGCCCCCATCACCAGGATAATAAGCTCTATCCCCTGTGAAGCTTTGTCATCAGACAGGAACAGCATCCTGTGTCTCAGCTGCAGGCTCGTGTCACTGAGTTGTGTCTGCTTCCTGCATAGCTTTATGGTTCCCTTCATTAGGGTACATAAAAAAGCACTTGTAAATTGGAATTGTGCTTCCTCCTTCCCTCAGAATCCAGAGGGTATCTCCTTGCTGGAGCCCAGGAGGAAACCTGAGGAGCAGGGCATCTTCCTCTAGCTCCTGGAAAAATAGGAGTTTTGGAATGCTGTGGGGCAGGTGCCCTGTTTGCCCTTTGCCAAAGTAATAACAATAAAAAAATTGTTAAAATATCTTGGGGGCAATGTCTTGGTCTATCACATGCCTTCTATAAAATGTGCATTCAAAACTATTTTTTAAACAATGTAGGTGTCAGTAGGACCCCTGGGAGGGTGGGAGTTTGGGATTTATTCAGCTGATTCTTGCTAACAGCCCTCAAAGGGGCATGAATCTCTCTTTTTGTGCTGATTACACACATGCCTGTGGCCTTTGGTGTAAGCCTGGCTCTTTATCAGCAGCCAGATACTTTTCCAACATTGCTTTTGTGCAAAACTGGAAACCTATTAAGAAAAACGAAACAAAAACACCAAAGAAACGCATAGTGTAGCACAATTGAAAGCCCGAAAAGGTTACCAGTTTCTGAAAAGCTGTTGGTAGCACCTGATTTTCTTTACAAAGGCGCCTGCATGTCACTAGTACAAGAGTGCTTTTCAATAACCTATTCAGTAGCATGACTCATGTGTCACTGTTTATTTTGCCTCTTCCCAAGGAAGATGCTGTGTTCCCTGCACTATTTTGGAAGGTGTTTAACGTGTCGCTCTGTTATTAGAGCCAGGCCAAAGCAACACGTATGACAGAGCGGAAGGTAGCAAAGTTCGAGCTGATGCTTCATTCCAT